GGACAGGAAGCTAAGGTATGGGCAGTTTAGATAGAGGAGGCTTATAGTTACCTGATGAATGAAATAACTACGTGTAGCACAACTACAATCAACCTCATGCACACATTACAAAAAGTATTCTAATTATGTGGTCTACACACAATAATGAGTACATGTCCACTCTACATGTATTTACAAATTTACTGTACATGTAGTGTGGAGCTTGGACAGTAGTTTGTCCGTCTGTGGTAACAAAGTTGTTTGCCAACTATGCTGATATACTGACACACTTTCCAGTACAAGTAAGTATACTTTATGTAATTATAATAAGTACATGTACATGTACTTACTTGTTATTGTTTTTAGTCATTGTCACAGCTCTTGCTATTGAATCTTGTACATCAGTTGGTAATAATTTAATATCACCTAACACTCGTATGCACACACCATGATTATCAATTAGATCACTATAATAGTATCAAAAAATTCTTCCTTCCTTATGCTGTGTAGAAAGTTTGAGCTGTTTTTGACAAATCTTTTTCGAGTTATGGCCATTTTAAAAATTGGCCAATTTCAATGCCCAAAGCTTATAGCCCATGGTTTTTTCTAAAAAATGGCTCCAAAATCATCCCAAAATTTTATTACATTTTTTGATACATATTGATGTACTTATGCTGTGTAGAGAGTTTGAGCTGATTCCGACAATTATTTTTTGAGTTATGGCCATATTAAAAAATTGGCCAATTTCTGGAAATTGCCCAAGGCTATAGCCCATGGTTTTTTCTAAAAAAGGGCTCCAAAATCACCCCAAAATTTCATTACATTTTCTGGTACATATTTATGCACTAATGCTGTGTAGAAGGTTTGAGCTGATTCCGACAATTATTTTTTGAGTTATGTCCATTTTAAAAAATTGGCCAATTTCTGGAAAATTCCCGAGGCTATAGCCTGGGGTTTTTTCTAAAAAATGGCTCCAAAATTATCCCAACTTTTTATTTTATTTTCTGATACAATTTTATGCACTTATGCTGTTTAGAAAGTTTGAGCTGATTCCAACAAATATTTTTTGAGTTATGGCCATTTTAAGAAATCAGCCAATTTTTGAGAAATACCCAAGGCTATAGCCCATGGTTTTTTCAAAAAATGGCTCCGAAATCACCCCAAATTTTTATTACATTTTCTGATACATATTGATGTCCTTATGCTATGTAGAAAGTTTGAGCTGATTGCGACAAATATTTTTTGAGTTACCTAAGGATATAGCCCATGGTTTTTTTCTGAAAAATGGCTTCAAAGTACCTTCAAATGTCCTATAGTGATAATACTATATCACTTACAATTACTCATAAGTCCAGAGCCTTCAGCCTCAACTTCAGCAGCCTACACTGAAAATAACATGATATCAACTCAGTATTACATTAATATTATATAAAAGGATCAGTAATTCTTAAATAAACTTACAATGGAGCCTTTAGTTCATTATCCATGGACATAGAGCTTCCTACATTTCCTTAAATGTATTTTTAATTTAGGCCACATTTACACGACTACGTTTTAAACAAAAACGAAAATATTTTTGGTTGGGTTTACACTGATATCAAATCCAAACAAAATAAAAACAAATACTAAAAAGAATAATTCTATAAACAAATGATAAATTCTAATGACAATGCAGCTGCTGGATTAGTGTAAACACCTGAAACAGGAATAACAAAAATGATGAGGTGGAGTCGCATAAACATGACCTTATTTTTAAGAATTATTTTTAATAACAGCATAGTACAGAGTAACATTAAAAATATAAACAAATAATTATATTTATTGTAAAAAATTAATGTCAATAACTTTTAAAGTACTAGTTTATATTTTGGTTCAATTCATTAGCTTACTAAATAATAACATTAACAACAACAGCAATAGTATTAATAATAATAATAATAATAATAATAATGATAACAACAACTTTTGGTTTGATAGCTAACTCACAAAATAACATTAACAACAACAACAACAACAATAACAATAATAATAGCAATGATAATAACATACATTGACAAAAATAGTTTTGATAGTAATTAATAAAAGCGTTACTAATGATAAGTAATATCAATGCATATAAACACATTCAATAAAAGTTAATGTATAAAAGCTATGGCATGTAAAAGAAATCTCATTTCAATAAAAAGTGGAGCAGAAACAAGTACACAAACTATTAATGCTCATAAACAATACAACATAATATACAATACAACAATGAATGATTTATTATAACAAAAATAAGAATAATAAACCAGAGGAAATCATCATAATGCTGCATATTGTATAACAACTACCAATAGAAATAATAAATAAATACTGAGCATTACTTTACTGTAAAAAAACATTATTAAAAAAATAGAAAAAATTGCCCTCCTGCGAAAAAAAATTTACCTAACAAGAAGTCTCCATTATTCTTGAAGGTATTAAAGTTAATGAGAGAGAGATTTGGTGCCATAGTGTTAATATAATGAAGAAAGGAAACGATCGAATGTGTTTGTGTAGAGAAGGTGTAGTAGAGAATGAGTGTGATGTGGTGAATTGGTAATACGTACAAAAGAATTGAAAAGATTCCAACAAGAACGAACGAAACAAATGAAAACGAACAAAAAGAATGAAGTACGACAATGACAATTACAAGAAAGATATCTATTTATGTAGTGTTATAGTTTAAGATTTAAGAAGATAAAAATGAAGGACGAGGTTTAGTAGCTATTGGTACTAGCTGTCTTTTCTCTGCCTCTTCGACAAACTCACAAGCCAATTTTGATAAACTAATTCTAGCCTCAAGAAACTTAACAATAGACTCAGCAT